AAGTCCAGTGTGCCTTCTAAGTCTTCTACACCTGGGATGGCTCCTGAATTCGCTATACCACCCAACTTACTTGGATCCTATGGAACTTCTATACCTGCTCCCTCTTCTGCAGATTTCGCACCTACTAAACGGTCACTACTTTCAAAGCTAAGACCTGGTATGACATCTTCTTTATTATATTGTAATGTTCCTACAATACCCTTATTAGGCCTCCTTCTTGCAGTTAACCAGAAAGCGCAAAATGCTTTAAAGGTGTGCCTAATTGTTCAAATATTTCACAATTTCACCAGGACGCGCTCCGCTTCAGAAGGGTTCACATACGATTGCTGATGTATATGCCTACCATAGGTCTCTATAAAATTGTGTTACGGAGTATTATTGATAGAAGGGCGCCAATGATTCAAAAACGTTCTTGGTTTCTTGGTGCAAAAGAAACGCTTTTTAGCACTTGAAAGACGTTGTCTCAAAACATAACGTGCTTGCCTTCTCCTTACATTCTTTCATCTGTTTCTACAAAACTTTTTCACTGACTACCAAATACTGAGAATACGCCTAAGCTATTGTTCTAATTATATATGCATTGGTTTTAGAGTAGATCTTTGTTCAGCGAAGCGTGCCGGTTCCTTATAAATATTCTTTTTGTTTATATCTCTCATATAATACTCGGTATTCACTTGTGCACACGAGGCGTCCCCATATGCAGTCATCGTTGTATTAAGAACAGGTCAAAGCTTCATTCAGTAGTCTAAAATTAATTAATCTCTTCTTTTATGAATCGAATTTTTATGACCGTATTAATGCCGGGGTTCCTGAAAACGTCGTTGACGAACCTCTCAGTTCAGGCCAACAGATAAAAGGCGCTTATGCAAATACGCCGCAGTTGCATGCCGGGTGATCACATCACTAGTGTCTGGTTTATTAAAGACGATAGTGTTTATTAAGGACCTTCGACGCAAAAATTTTGGTCTGTCTGTCTGTCTGTCTGTCTGTCTGTCTGTCTGTCTGTCTGTCTGTCTGTCTGTCTGTCTGTCCATTTGTCAGATTGTCCACTTGTAACGGTACCCTAAACGGCACCAAAGTGACCAAACAATATTCCCAACTGCCAACCCCATCCGAAACGTCTACCGATACTGCTCAAGGTGCAGCTTTCACACTTATGCGATTGTCAATTAAAAAGCAATTATTGCGCATATCTGAGGCACCATAACAACATGTCAATGTTATGTATGTGTATTTTTACTAGAAAAGGCATACATAAGTAATTTTAAGGATCGTAGCCTTAATGACCCTGTGCTGGCCATGCAACGCTTGCACGAAACGGCAAGTGTTTCCAACGCTTTGATAAGACGACATGGTGGTGGCACCTACCCGTCGCCTTGCGTTCTACACCTTATCACCTGAGAGACGGCCGCTCACAACGCGCGCCCTGTTTTCCAAGATAACTGCCAGATAGCGCTTATGTCTCAGGTGTGACGTGACTTGATGCGCTCGTCCGGCTCCGCTGCATCCTCGAGGCACTCTAACGCAGCGGCTCCAGAATACCATTCACCGATTTTTTACGCAGAACATCAAATAAACATTTTGTTCACTCTCTCCAGACGCAAGGCTATCGTCTTTCGACAACATTTGCGGTGTAGCATGCAGATACGACCCCAATTTTTTTCTGCTCATAATTTTTTATCTCCACTCCTGGTTTGTCGGGGTGGTGCCATCGAGCGGAGAAAAGCAGAGCGTGAGGACAGTAGTGAGAACCACGAGAGAACGCTCAGAACTCTGAGAACGTTCAGAACTACGCCCCAGTGCCTCGATAACATTATTCGGGAGACGCTGGCCCCAGGACGCTCTACAAACGCCCCGTACGTGACGTTGGTCGTACTGAGTACAGAATAGCAGAGCCTCTGCATGAAGCACTGAAAATGTTCCTGAAGGTAGCTTCAGAGACCAGGAGCGTTCACACAAAGTGACGACGCGTTTCCGTGTTTTGCCTTTCGCGTTTCCCTAGGTGATCCAGCTTCCACATGCACCAACGGCGTTTCTACAAATTCCGCTCATACGAGTGAGAGGACACCGACAACGAAAACTGCTCCATCGGGTGTCACGGAAAGACAACGGCACCCACCAGCGAATGTCGCGCAAGTGAGTTTGTTGCAGCGAGGAATACGCCGCCCCGCCGCGGTGGTCTAGTAGTGGCTAAGGTACTCGGCTGCTGACCCGCAGGGCGTGGGTTCGAATCCCGTCTGCGGCGGCTGCATTTCCGATGGAGGCGGAAATGTTGTAGGCCCATGTGCTCAGATTTGGGTGCACGTTAAAGAACCCAAGGTGGTATAAATTTCCAGAGCCCTCGACTACGGCGTCTCTCATAATCATATAGTGGTTTGGGGACGTTAAAACCCACATATCAATCAATCAATCAGCGAGGAATACGCCACCAGGTGAGAGCACAAAGCCTTCGCGCGTTCGTGGCGTAAGCTGAGAGCTCGGCCTCTCGCATTTTCGAAGTTAAGCCCACCACTGTACAAGTAACTGCCATAAGCACCGAAGCAGAACGGAAATGATTCTGGTTTGCCGAACAACCCACATGCAGGACGCTTCTCACTTACATGACACCACATGCCGAGCACGATCACAGGACAGTCACCGACACGACGGTGGTGTACCCTTTGCTGCAGGGGACCATGAGTTCACAAAACGATTTAGGGAAAATTCGTTCGATTTCGCTGTTACATTTTGAGAACAGCTGTGGTTCATGTGCGATTTGTGCAATGCTCCAGTGTGTTCTATATAGCGTCTCTGCAAAATGTATAGTGGTGCCTTGTTGTTGCTTGTCATGGTAGAAAAGTGTCACCAGCCAGCAATGTGGGCGCGTCAGCATGTAAAGGTGCGGCAGCAACAGAATACCAATATACATTATACATCAATGAGTAGTAGGTACTGGAATGCTTCTTTGAAGACACGCCACTTTCTTGTGTTAGATGGATTCCTATATCAAACGTATCAATCACATGCCTTACTTTATCAACTCAATTATCTCGCTTGTGCTCTAAGCTCTATTACTCATACATTTCTTTGTATAAGCTACAACCGAATATTTATTGTAAGTAGTAAAGGACCTGCACAGGTCAATTGTTTTTTTTCTACTTTAACCCAGCCTGAACGCCGTCCAACGAACTTCGCCCTGCAAGCAACTGTCTGGTCTCCCCACTGCCAATTGGCCCCGCCGCGGTGGTCTAGTGGCTAAGGTACTCGGCTGCTGACCCGCAGGTCGCGGGTTCGATTCCCGGCTGCGGCGGCTGCATTTCCGATGGAGGCGGAAATGTTGTAGGCCCGTGTGCTCAGATTTGGGTGCACGTTAAAGAACCCCAGGTGGTCTAAATTTCCAGAACTCTCCACTACGGCGTCTCTCATAATCATATAGTGGTTTTGGGACGTTAAACCCCACATATCAATCAATCCCCACTGCAATTGTTACGCCTACAACTTTGCACTCATTCACAGACAACTAGGTTGATTCCTTACAGATTGCCGAGCACCTTTTCAACAGTGTCTTGAGTCTTGTATATTAGTGCCTGCAATATGCGAATAGTGTAGTTACCTGCTTCTGGAATGCAAAATATTGCTTTTGAAGTTTTGCAAAAATCTTGCTTGTAATCTTTAGCTCATCATTATTCTTTGGCAAGTTTTGTTTCGTGTAAGAAGTTCTATAGTAGCAAAAAAGAAATGATACTATTGTACACAATTGAAACCTCGTAGATATTACCGAAGCATCAATAATTGGTGAGGCTATTGAGCAGCACACTTGACGACAGTGTCTTCATTTTCACAGTGTTTTTCGCCAACAAACTGTGTAGTGTGTAGGGTTGCATATTATTTAATTTTCTTTTGCGAATTGTTACCGTTATTACCCAATAAGCGTGTTAAAAGGCGTACAGATGACCTGTGAGTAACACTAGAGCGTTCACAGGCCATTTCACAGAAATTCTAGCGTCTGCGTTTTTGGTTGGTTAGCCGAAAGTCTCCCTGATCCGTGAGAAAAACTCAAAAAAAAAAAAAATCCTAGTCAATAATTATTTAAAAACTGCCTGGAGTGAAAATAGGACCGAAGTTTTCTGATTGACAAGCAGATCTTCTACGACAGAGCCACGACATAGCTTGAAACTGCTTCGAGAGAAACTACAGTTTCACGCATTGTTATAGGTGACATTTCAATATACGGCACGGCAGAAGCGTTGAATACCTCTATGTGTCAAAACATGACACTCTCACAACGAGTCAGGGGTTTTAATTGCTTACGTTTACTTAGAAGTCTGGTATATCTGTTGATCAGCATCAACAGAAGCAATAACACAGTGAGAAGCCACGTGGGTTCACGTGCTGTCTTACGGAGACGTAGTGCGTACTTCGCCGATTCGCAACGGAAGGAATAGTGGTGTACTAAGCATTTCGCTACTACACTCGCACTTAAAAGAGTATGATATCTTTAAACGGGAAATGCTCTTCGTCTATACATTTATTTTTCGGTGGCACGACTGGGGTGTCCACTGAGGAGCCAAGTGAGGCTACCGTCTTAGAATGTGATGGAAACGTCGCCTGATTACGCTATTGCGTTCTTGACGTAAGGCGAAGCTCAGAAGTCCTCCAACTTCTTAATCTACTTTTGCCGACACGCGTCAATTCTTAAGTTGAATATGCCTAAAAGTACTCAAGAGCTATTTCAAAGTACTTACCATACAGTAGGACACGCAACTTCGTAATACTGAGAGCTTAAAACGTATAGGCAGCTTGGCAGGAAGCCAGCGCCGAAACAGTGAACAAAGAAGGTGCACATCATTTTTCGAATGTACTTTTGTTGAACGAAACACCCTTGAAATGTCAAAAGAAATCACTAATATCTGATTATATGCATTTATCTCGCAGATCTGATCCTTGCAAGTGTAGCTTCTGGCCTTGGAGGCTTTGCGAGTTCTGCAATGCTCTTTGGCGGCTTAGGCGGTTTTGGCGCCATGGGAGGCTACGGCGCTTATGGTGGTTATGGTGGTTATGGTGGCTACGGTAGCGCCGGTCTCGGTGGTGGCCTATACGGTGCTGGTGAGATCGGCGCTGGTGAGATCGGTGCTGGTGGGATCGGCGCTGGTGGGATCGGCGCCGATGGGATCGGCGCAGGTGGGAACGGCGCCATATATGGCCGTGTTGACGCTGCTCTCCTCAGTGATCCTGCTGCCACCGCGGGCACGAATGACGATAATAGCACGACGGCAACAGCTGGCTTGACTGATGAATCTGGACACCCTGGCGCTGCTGCAATTCCTGCCGTCCCCGGGGCTCCTGCTGTTCCCGGCGAACCTGGCGGTGCTACAGTTCTTGGCGCTTTAAGCAATTCTGGCGTGGGTGGCGGTGCCATGCCTGATAGCATTCCTGGCGATGATCTATACGAATACTATCCTGATTACAATGAAACTGAATACGAGACAACCACGGACTAAGCACATCACAAAAGTGGATGCCTCTCAGTGATGCACTTTGAATAAAGAGAAATAAAGAATAAATATTACTGCCTCCTTAAATATTATATACATTGTCCATGTAGTAGTAAATAACGAAATCTTTTCGACTTCGTTGTCGAAATTCACAAACCTTCGTGCTGGCCACGAGTACCTATAGTTTTCGAGTAGCGACTGCATGGGCTTTATCAAGCCGGTGTTATCAAACAGAAAAAAAATATCGCTAGGAAGTTTTTGCTATTTTTCGTGTAATTAGGATCAGAAATCTATCGAGTATTCTCATTGCGCTTAGCAACACCAGAGAGCGTTTTGTTCGGAAATATTGCAAAACTCGTGAAGGTCCATGTGAACAATCGACAAACATAACATGGTACTACACGTAGGCGAGAAGCAAAGTTCGATAGCACACTCATTGCTTTTCCATATTTAGAAACTTAAGCAATAAGCACAAACTACAGGCAGAGATGACTAAGAAATGTTGCTGTTCTGCGCTGGACGTAGCTTGCTTTCTGTATGCTGGACACCTTTTCCTCGCAATGGTTTAAGTATGCGTTGGAGACGTGTCAATGGCAACGCTCTTTTTTGCGCGCTCATTCGCGATATAAAGACGCAGCCACCATGCTCTCTTCCAAGCGAATATTGATGACGGCCACGAACTTTGACATAGCGGTCGTTTATTATAATTTAATTATCAATGTTTTATTATTCTCAATGTCATCAGGCTAAGCAGGCCACAAGTGCCAGTGGACAATATCAGAGGCCATTTACAACATCAAAATCAGCAGTCTCTGACAAAGTGAAGCCATCTGTCAGTGTGAAGCACATCTTAACCAGATAATGGAGTCGATATATTCAAATAAATAAAGGAAAAATATCCTCAATTTTGAAACGAGTGTAGGGAGACATAGAGGAAGATTACGCAATGTCCTGTGAAAGAGAACCATGCGTAGATGCGGAGCAGCAGACGTTAACGCTTACACTGGCGATGACGTAGACGCTGGGTCTCATCATGGCGTTGTGTAGGAGAGAAACCTGGGGAGGCGCAAGGCATGTAGTTATGAACCACTGTTTCCTACTGAAACATGTCAATCCCTGCCAATGGCCGTGAGAGACAGAAATGTCCAATTGTACACAGCGACCCCGAGTCCATTTTCGCTAACGCTGACGCTTCGATTTTTTATCGTTCAACAATGCACAGGAGACATCTCTCACCAGCACTATGTTGGCGGTGAAGATTCAGTGCCTATATATATGGGGCGGTCAGTGAACGGTTTTGCAGCGCGAGCAGTCAGTTTTTCAAACAAGAAGCTTGCTTGCAAAAGCTGCCTGCGTTGGCGTTGCGGTACGATATAGGGGAGCGTAGGAGAGCAGAGAAAGGGGAGGGTATGCGCATGCGCAATGGCGGTGTAGAAGCCATGCGGAGGAATGCCTAGAGGAGAGTTGGGAGCGAGCGTAGGTTAGAAGAGGCTCCCTGCGTCGGCGTTGCTAGGCCAGAGGGGAGAGTGTACTAGAGGAAAGTAGATGGCATGCGAAGTATGAGTGCGGGCGCTGACGCCGCGGGACATGGACTTTAGCAGAAGATGCTTCGAATCTAGAAGAACTTTGTATGTCTTCGGGGATTAGACGAGGGGCTGTAATGTGTTAGGTGTCATATAACATTAAAGAAAGTGAAACAACTTCCAGCAGTGGCGAACCCATTTTACTATAGTGCAGGCAGCTTTACCAGCCACAATGGACAAATAAACTAAGAAGCATATAGTTAAGTATATTGTCATGAAGTATTACGACTGCCGTACCAGAAACCAGGAGACGTTCTGGGTGGCAATCACTTTATTTTGTCGGACAGGTACCCGGAACACCCGGTGGTAACGTCGACAAGTGTTACTGTTGGTGTGCGTAACAGGAATACTGCGGCTTCGTGCTGCGCGCTCTTCTTAAACAAAACATGGACAATGTGACCCTTGCCCCGCCACGTTGGTTTAGTGGCTAAAGTACTCGGCTGCTGACTCTCAGGTCGCGGGATTGAATCCCGGTCACGGCGGCTGCATTTCCGATGGAGGCGAAAATGTTGTAAGCCTTTGTCCTCAAATTTCAGTGCAAGTTTAAGAAGCCCAGGTGGTCGAAATTTTCAGAGTCCTCCAATACGGTGTCTTTCATAATAATAACGTAGTTTTGGGATGTTAAACCACACATATCAATCATAAACGTGACCCTTCTTATTGATACCTCACTCAAAAAACTATACAAAAAACAGGCAGTAGCCTAACGCTTGCAACGAAACGAAAAGATAGAACAAATGATAGCGCCTCTGCACTGACCAACTGCAGACGTCAAGTGGCATTGCCCCTCTTTTAACAGACACTGTCCCGATGTTTAAAACAGAACGAAACAGATTATTTTGCGACAAAGTTGTGCGAAACTTAACACGAACAAAAAATATACAAGCCGGGCATTGGTGTGTTAGTATCAGCGCTCAAGGTAAGGTTTTTAATCGCATAACATGGACCACTTTAGAGCGCAGGCGATGTCACTGTGATGATGGGAGGTCATCGGGGCCAACTTCATAATCCAAAGAACCAAGGCGCCATAAAAGTTTGTATGGTTCAAAGTAGCGACGCAGCAGTTTTTCACTGAGTCCTCGTTTCCCGATGGTAGTCTACACCCAGGCGCGGTCACCAAGTTAGCTGTTCGTCGCTGCAGCGCAGATTGTGTAGCGTCGGGCGCCGGCCTTTTGCTGACCTTGAATGCGCAGACGGGCTAAGTGTCGAGCCTCTTCTGCTCGCTGCAGGTAGACATAAACGTCAAAGTTCTCTTCGTCGGTAGTGTTTGGGAGCATGGCATCCAGCGTTTTCACGGGTTCCCTTCCATAGAGCGATTTAAATGGCGTCAGCTGTGTGGTTTCCTGCAATGCAGTGTTGTATGGAAAAGTCACGTAGGGTGAAACTGCATCCCATTACTTGTGCTCAATATCTACATACAAAGACAGCATTTTGACAATGGGTTTGTTCAGACGCTCAGTGAAACCATTTGTCTGAGGGTGGTAAGCCGTTGTGCTGTGGTGGCTTGTGTGACTGTAGTGCAGGATTGCTCGCGTAAGGTCAGCCGTGAGCGCCCTCCCCCTATCAATCATAAGCACCTCGGGTGTCCCGTGTCACAGTACAATGTTTTCGATGAAGAACTTGGCGGCTTCTGCGGCACTGTTCTTAGGGAGAGACTTCATTTTGGCAAAACAAGTGAGATAATCGGTTGCCACGACGATCCATTTGTTACCATCAGGAGACGTCGGGAATGGTCCGAGAAGGTCCATTTTAATCTGCTGAAAAGGTTTCATGGATGGTTCAATGGCCTTTAAACAGCGAGCAAGTTTCGAGGAGAGGGGGGGGGGGGGCTTCTTGAGTTTTTGGCAGTCTCGACAAGTTTTTACTTAAAGCGCCGGGTCGGTGATAAGAATGGGCGAGTAGTATTTCTTTTGAATTCTTGCCAGTGTGCGGGTGAATCTTAGGTGACCTGACACTGGTTCATCGTGGCAAGCTTGCATAATTTCTGTGCGAATTTTCGTAGGCACGACAAGGAGGAAACTTGCCCTGTTTGGGGAAAAGTTCTTTTTGACGAGAACGTCGTCCTTCAGGCACAATGAAGATAGAACACGTTTGTAAGCTCACGGAGCAGACGAGGGTTTGCCTTCCAGGCATTCAATCAAGGTGCACATGTCTCGGTCGCTTCGCTGCTGTTCGGCAAAATGTGTAGCACTGATCGCTCCGCGAAAAAACTCGTCATCAAGATCTTGCGCGGCAGCGTCGATGGGTGCACGAGAAAGGCAGTCGGCATCCGAGTGCTTGCGTCCGGACCTGTAAATGACCTTGACGTCAAACCCTTGGAGTCTCAAGCTCCACCGTGCCAGGCGGCCTGACGGGTCTTTCAGGTTTGCGAGCCAGCAGAGTGCATGCATGGTGGTCAATTACCACCTTAAACGGCCCTCCGTATAGACAAGGGCGGAATTTCGATGTCGCCCAGATAATGGCGAGGCACTTCTTTTCAGTGGTCAAATAATTGGCCGGTGCTTTCCACACAGATCTACTCGCATAGGCTATGACATTTTCGAAACAGCACGCTGCTACGCTGCTCGCGTCTCTATAGATCTCCATCTCCGCATTTTCATCGAAGTGCGCGAGTACTGGAGGTGGCTGAAGGTGGCGCTGAAGCTCTGCAAATGCATCGGCTTGTGGAATGTCGCACGCAAACTTGATGTCTCATTTTGTGAGTCGTGTCAACGGTTCCGAAATTTTGGAGAAGTTCAGCGCCTAATCCCCAAAACCTGCAGAGAGCTTTCTTATCCTTAGGCCACGGGAAGCCAGTGATGACTGAAGTTTTTCGTGGGTCCTTGCTTACTCCGTCTTTGCGGACACCTTGGCCAAGAAACAGTAACTCTTGGTAGCGACACCGGCATTTGTCTGGTCTGAGAGTACACCCCGAAGACTCTATTGCTTCGAGCGCAACTCACACCCCCGTATTCTAGAACGTCCTTTCCCTCAAGGCTTCGCCTTCGCTTGAAAAATCCGATGGGAACGCCATATCTAGGCGTGGCAAGTCACTGCATATCAGCAATAGTCTGCGGCAATTCTTGAGTAGCGCAGCGTCACTTTCAGCCGAGTGGTGGCGCAGTGCTCAACTCTGTCAAGTGATGGGTGAAAGTCGAGTGGAGGATCGTTTGTGAATACGTGTCAGCCTGCTCAGGTGTACCTCGAAGTTTGCCGCGAAGACTGTTCGTGGGCGTAACAGGAATACTGCTGCTTCGTGCTGCGCGCTCTTTTTGAAAGTGATACTTCACACAAAAAGTTCTACAAAACAAGTAGCATTGTGCGTGCAATGAAGCGATAGTGTGGCACAAATGATTGCGTGTCTGCAGTGACCAACTGCTTACGTCACCTGGTAATATATTGTAGCGAGTTAGCAGGCACATTTTTCTATGTGAATGATTACCA